CGCGGAGCGTCCGCGCGAGGCCCAGGAACACCGCCGCGCCCCCGGGGACCCTCCGCGCCCTGGCCGGGCCGACAGCCCGCTCCCGCCAGCTGAAGGCCGCCCGCGGCCACGGGGGGGCTCACTTACGAGAGCTATCGTCGCCGTCGCCATCTTGCGTCCGTCGCGGCCGCCGCGCGCGCCACACGCTCGAGCTCCCTCCGTGGTCTCGCGCGATCTGGACGCCGGGGACGGAACTCTCGCGATAAAAGGTGTTTTAGCCAGCGACGTGGAAGGAGAAAAAAACGCGCTTCCGGGTGGGGAGGGGAGGGGCGGATGACACCCCCGGAAGGGGCGGGCCCGGCGGGGCGGGGCGGTGGCGTGAGGCGGGACGCGCGCGGACGGGCGTTCTTCTCCGCGCATCTCGCGTCTACCGCGTGCGGTCACCGCGCCGTTTCTCTACCTTTTTCGCAGGAAGGCGGATCCCAAGCGTCCGGTCGCTGTCACCGGGGACGCCTCCGCAGTGCTGTCATGTACGCCCATGCTGGGGTTGAGTCCGGGGACACCATAGCTCGGCCCTGAGATGCGCCGTCTTGCCGGTGACGTCTCCGAAGTCGAGAGTCATCAGTCAGTTGGTAGCGTTTTCTCCCTCGCAGCGGTTCGTAAGGCAGGAGCGCGTCTTGCATCTGGAGGGGTGGTGGACCGCACCCCAGAGGCGGCCCTGGCCAGCCCCGCAGGCGTGTGCGGGAGCAGTGTGCACGCGGGTCCGTGCCCATTCGTGCGGTCGGAAGAGCTGCCCCAGTCCCAAGACCCCAGCTCAGTTATCCGCCAGGAAGAAACCCCATCTGTGAGCTCAGGCACCTTCAGCTGCCTGAGGCAAAAGTGTCTTCCCTAGTCGGGTAGATTTCTTTTCAACGCTGGGAAAGTTTAGAATTGAACTTAGACACTTGTAGTTAAATAGGGCAGTATATTTTCCTCCTTTCCCTCCAGAAACCCCTATAAAATGATAGGAAAGGAGTTTTATTATGGCAAGACCTATGAGGGCAAAGAGGTGGGACATTGTGGAGATGGAGGAAGGTGGACAGCAGAAGCTGCTTTAGCCAGCTGGGCTGTGGAAGTTAGCGACTGAGGGACCATGCATGAAAGCACAGCTGGAAAAAAAGAGGAGACCCCAGACTATCCATACCTGCTGGGGCTGGCAGACACTGCCCCTGCCCAGCAGTGGCTGGGAGGAGACTCACCAGAGGGGAGCTCTGACGCCTGGCCATCTGGGCAAGGCCCTGCTCTGAAAATGGGGGGGTGAGTGAGTCCCCTGCTCCTTCCCCCACCTCTACTTTCCACTCCTAGAGTCTGCCCCCTCACCCCCGCCATGTGCCATCCAGATTCCTCAAAGAGGTCTCCTCTCTGCAGCAGCTCCCACCTCAAAAGAAAACAGTGGCCAGTTGCAGGGGAGTTTGCCTAGTAGGATGACCCAGCCAAATCCCTGGCCTCAAAGTTCACCAGGCAATAAGCCTGAGCTACTCAGAGCTTCTCGCTCTTAAATGCAACTAGACAGCCCAGGATCACCAGACATCTAAGGAAGAGGAAAAGGGATTCAGAAGGAACACAGACAGTGAAGGACACAGCAGAAGAAAAAAGAGCTAAAACGATATCCTCAGAGACATTATAGATGTTGCATGCAAAAAACAAGGACAGGAGGCTACAGAGAAAGAACACTCAACAAATGAGAAAGATCTCTTACAGAAGAAAAATTTGAGAGAAAAATAAGCAATTCAATAGGATTGAAAGATAAAGCTGAAATCTTCAAGAATGTATAACAGAACCAGATAGCTAGAAAACAGAAAATGTAATGCTAATCACACGGGTCAGTACTTTTGGTGCTTTGAACCACCTGGCACACCAGAGGCCTCCAGAATAGAGGGGGATGGATGAGTGGGAGTGTGGGTTGGGTCTCACTGCCACTGCCAGGTGGAGCCACAAACACCACCCTCCAGAGGCAGCTTCCCCTTGCGTTATGTGTAATACAGTACTGTACTCAGAGGACTTGGTGCCAGGCACCAATCTTACTTCACACACACTAGCTAGTGGGATCCTTGCAGCAGCCCTGTGCTACACAGTGAACACTGCTATTATTCCCATATCTACAGATGAGGGAGTGGAGGCACAGGACAGTATCACACAGCAGGGAGCAGTAGAGGGCTCCAGAGCCTGTGCCTTTAACCACCACGTGATTGCACCTCTCAAAAGGTAAGTCCAACATCTAAATACAGTTTCCAGAAAGTAAGGAAAGGAGAGAAATAAACAAAGAAATAGTTCAAGAAAATTTCCTGGAACCAAAGGGTCTGGGCTTCTGGGCAACAAATGAGAAAGTGTGCCTTGAGAATTTCCAAAGCACTAGGGGAAAGAAAAGGTTGAGAAAGAGAAGAGATCGTAGGCAAGAGTCAGAATTCAGAAAGGCAAGAGAGTTCTTGGAAGTAGAAGAAAATGACATGACATCCTCAAAATCCTAAGAAGAAATTATATTCAACTGAGCCAAGCTTTTCGTACTCAGTTACACTTTGAAGCATATATAAAATTAGAATAAGGACAAACAGGCAGACTCCACACCTTCCCATGCATCCTCTCTCAGAAAACTTGGAGGATGCTCCTCCTCAAATGGGGTGAATGAAGAGAAAATCATCGGAAACAATAACCCAGGTTCACAGTTGGACAAGTCCAAGAACAAGCAGCCTGGGACGCAGTGCTCACATGATGGAGGCTTCAGAAAAAGATGACACTGAGCAGTCCATTAGAGAGGAGTCCTAACTATTGACAGGAGGTTCACACTTCTGCAAGGGAATCTAAAGATGGGTAAGTGACACATACAGAAAACAAAGCAAACAAAGGAAATAGACAATTATTAACTCCAGGGAAAATAAGTTGTGCAAGAAAGAAGATATAATCCTAGGACACCTTGTTCTCTGCTGAGACTTGTGGTAATGAAGCTATAATAATACCCAAGTGGCTATGATGTCCATTACACTGAGATGATGCTGGGCCAGGGGATAAGGGAAGGTGAGCCCCCTCCCCCCAGAATATACACCAACTGGGGACACCTAATGTAGAAAAACCAATAAACAGGGACTAAAAGGATCCTCGTGGTTTTGAGAAACATGGATTTTAAATGCCTAAAGAAACAGTTAAGAGAGTTGAATTTGGGGAGGATCAGGGTGAGAGACTGCATTTATTATTTTTAATTATTGGCCTCAAAAAAAACCCATTCCACTTTTAAACAATACGTATATAACTCTGAAAAGATAAAACTTGAAATGAAAAACAGCATTGGCGTGATCAAGTGCAGCAATGGTAGTACTGATGCTTTTAAGTTTGGTTTAATCACTGGTATGATCTGTCATGTATCTGTTGCTCAAACTTTAAGACGGTGCACAGACAGCTTAGCCTCAGGATTTCCATCTAGAATGTGTTAAGTTATATTAGATGTGTGATTTTAAGTTGAGTAGTGTATTTGAATAATTTTGTAAATAGTACTGGAATATTTATAACTTAAGATTCACTGTATTTGTACATTTATTTTATATGCCTTGGTAAATTTGTTTTGTTTTGGTTTTTGGCTTTTGGTTAGGGTGGTGTTGTAGTTGGAATGCCCCCCCCCCCTCCCGCCAAGATGTCCATTTCCTAATCCCTAGAACCAATGAATGTTAGTTCACACGGCAATAAGTATTTTGCAAATGTGATTAATATCAAGGACCTTAAGAGGAGGAGATAATGCTGGATTATGTGGGTGGACCCAATCTAATCACATGAGTCCTTAAGGAGAAACTTTCATTGCTGCAGAGAACCAGAGAGATGGTTCCTAATGGATTCAACCTGCTGTCGTTGGCTCTGAAAATGGAGGAGGGGAAACGAGCCAAGGAATGTGGGCAGCCTCTAGAAGCTGAGAATGGCCCTCTGTTTATAGCCAGCAAGAAGATGGGGACCTCAGCCCCACCACTGCCAAGAAGTGAATTCTGCCAACAGCCCGAATGGGCAGGAAACGGATTCTCCCCTAGAACCTCCAGAAGGAACACAAGCAGCCTGTCAACACCTTGGTTTTAGTCTAGTGAGACTCGTATCAAACTCCCACCCTACAGAATTATAATAAACTTGTGTTGTTTTAAGCCTCTAAGTTTGTGGCAAGTTTTACAGCAGTAATATAGAACTAATAAAGTAGTGAGCCTTCCCACTTTGACATTTGAAATACTTAAAAAGAAACCTAAATGCACTAAATTTATACATACAATTTAAAATGTTTGAGACTGTTTAACAAAACTTGGACTTGGAGGAGAGGCAATCCAAGAACCAAGAGGCCAGGGCAGTGGGGGTGGGCAGAATCCCCAAGGGCAGTGAAACCTCTCAGAGTGAGCCAGGAGCTGACATCTTCAGGGCCTGGGAAGCAGCTGCCAGGGAGCAAGTGCTGGAGATAACATGGAGGGTGCCTGGCCCCTGACCCCTCCAAGCCAGGTAATGCAGGAGAGAAACAGCCCCCTGGAGGGGGCTGCAGGGGAGAAGAGAGTCTGCAGAGATGGCTACAGGTCCTGGTCTCAGAGCATGTGGAAGGTGGGATCAGGGGCTTTGCTGACGTGGCCTAAACTACAGGTTCTCTACCACCTGTTTTTCTGCCTGGTCATGGCCCTGCCTAACGCCCAGCACCTGCCTGACACATGCAGGTGTTCCACCATTGGCTTGAGGTCCAGGCTCCTTGTGTGGGTCTGAGGTGCCAACCCAGGGTGGCTGCTCTCTCTGACCAGATGGAGCATATCCCTGGGCAAGTCTGTCCAGGGCTGACCCCTACCCCCAGCCCCAGCACTGTGGCTCTCTGCAGGGCAGCCTCTCCTTGCTGAGGACCCAGAGGCCCAGTCAGTGTCCAGGCAGCTTAGGGGTTGAGAAGAGGTGGGGATCAGCAGAACCGAGGAAATAGGAGTGCTGAGCTGTGGACGCCTGAGGGGAATCCTGATCCCGAAGCTATGCGGCGCCTGGCCACTCCCCTGCCTCCACCCCTGGGTCTCCGCGGAGGCGGGGTCAGCTCCACGCTGAGCTGAGGCGGGCGGGCGGGTCCTCACTAGCTGGGTCGGGCAGCGCCCAGGCTGGTCCCGAAGGGCTGGGGTACGGGATCAGGCCTGGGCCCCGCGGTACTTGAGGAAGGTGCTCTCCAGGAAGGCAGCCAGCTTCGTCCGGTCATCCTGCAGAGTGGGAGGGAGGCATGGGGGCTCGGACGGGCGCGGCCCACCCCGCGCGCCCTCCCGGCGCGGTCGCGCCCACCCGGCGCACCTCGTGGACAAAGCCGTAGTGCACGAGCTCGGAGGCCAGGTCTTGGGCGCTGTCGGCTGCGGCGAGGGCGTGGGGCGAGGCGTGAGGCCGCGGCGACGCCGGGGTCCCCGCCCTCCGCCCGCAGTCCCCGCCCTCCGCCCGGGGTCGCCGCCCGCCTACTTGGGAGCAGGTCGTAGGTCAGCTGCCGGTGCAGCCTGTCCTCCAGCTCCAGGAGCAGCGTGAGCTGGGGAGGCGGGAAGGCGTGGTCGGCAGGGGCGGCACCAGGAGTCTCCCCCCGTCCGCCCCGCCCCCCGCGCCCGTCCCAGCCGGGGCGGGGCTCACATGCCAGCGCGCCATGTCCTCGCTTCTCTCCAGGTTGCACTGCATCTGGATCACCTGAGGGGAGGCAGGCCAAGGTCACCTACAAAGGCCGCAACTCAGCAGCCGAGCAGCGAAAGCGGATCCTGCCCAGGAGACACAGCAGGGATTAGAAATAGGAAAAATCTCTAAGGGGAGCCCAGAAAGCACATCTTGCAGCCAGTGGCACCTGCGAGTTAAGGAAAACTTCCAGAAGAGTATATATGGGCCAGAAGAGTATATATGGGGTCTGGGTAAGGAGGGATGAATAGGAGTTTTCACAGGTGGAGAGAACACCTTGAACAGGAGGGAACTGTGGGAGGCAGGGGGACAGAGGCAGCCTGGATGTGTCCGCCTAGAAGTGCGGGTGTCCGCAGGACCAGGCCTTGGAGAGCCTGGGGCTGAGGACTCCTGCAATCTCTGTGGGCAGCCAGAAGTCAGGCAGCTCTGACCGTTAGGACACGAATTCTGCTGTACTGTGGAAAGAAGCCAGGAGGAGGGAGGCCAAGACAGGGACTGAAGCAGCGTCCAGGTGAGGAATAGAGGTGGCCCGGATCAAGGCGATGGCCATGGGGCCACAAAGCCAGAGTCTCTGGTGCCTGGTGGGTATGTACATGAAAAGTGAGAGGGAGGGTCCAAGGCTGACCAGATGTGGTCCCTAGCCAGGAGGCAGCTTTGCAAGAAAGGTCTGGGGTCACACCAGGACTCAAATATCAGGGAATCAGCAAACCAAGGGGGTGGGATCAGAGAGGGCTGGGTGGATGAGATGTCCGGAGGAAGGCTGCATGGTGCAGGTGGAGCACAGAAGGGTGGGGGGCAGGAAGTGGGGCATGGGGGATGGGTCCACAGGGGAGAAGCAGTGTCTGACAAAGAGGGTGTCCCAGCTTATCCTACAGGCCTCCTAACCCCTACAAAGGGGTCAGCCTGGATCTGGTCTCTGGCAGCCTGGAGGAGAGCTGGGCTGGGGGGGACTCAGGCCCTAAGAGAACGGCACCCCCTTTCTGAGTGCTGGACAGGTCTGAGAGCTGACACCATCAGCAGGAGTGGAGACTCACCTTTCTGGTCTCCAAGTCAAAGGGTTCTGGTGTTGGGGTCTTGGCCTTCTGGGCCTCCTCAGGGGGTGGGGCTAACACACGGGGCAGCCCCAGGGGCCGAGCAGCTGCAAAGTTCATCAGTGGGTAGATCCCGTTCCTGGGGACACACCAAGGGATGGCTGGGGCTGGGGCTTAGGCCTGACAGCCATCTGTTCCCTAACCTCACGCCTGCTCTCACCTGACATCCTCCAGGAATTTGTCCAGCTCCAGAAAGGAGACCTCTGAATACCTGTCTCAGGGATAGGAGGCACATGAGGGATGACTGGCCAGGGAAGCTGAGAGGGGAGGCTTCTGAGTGGTATGCTACTCACCGCCATTGCAGCGGGGGCCGGTGGGGCCGGGGAATCTCTGCCAAGATGGCGTGCAGGTCCATGGCCTTGGTCCTCTCCTCCACTACGTTCTCAGGCATGAGGTCTGCCGGCCACAGAAGCATCAGGGCAGTGGGCCTGAGCCACGGGTCCTGCAGGGCTCCTTACCCATCCTGACCCCAGGCCCCCTGGTCCAGCCCAGGCTGGCTTGCCCCTCACATTGGTGCTGGATGAAGCAATGGGCTGCTAGGAGCTTCAGTGAGTGCACCTCGAAGAGCACGCGGTGGAAGAGGAGATTGTGGGCAGAGGGCCGGCAGGCAGGGTCCCGGGCCAGGCAGGAGAGAATAAACTCCTGCAGCATGGAGAGGAGAAGCCAGGGTGGGCAGAGGCTCTCTGCTCTAACCTTACCATAGAGGACTCCTGAGGTCCCCAGACCCTAGGGGTACAATCCCCATGTCCTCCCTCCTGAGGGATATTGTGGGAGCCTTCTTGCAGAAGGGAAGGCATCCCATTAGCCAGGCCAGGACCTGCTCCTACAAACTCGAGGACATCCAGGTCCCAGGCTCAGAGCATTCCGGGCTCTACTTTCTTTTTTCTTTTTTTTCCTTTTTGTCTTTTTTTCGTGACCGGCAATGGATCGCAACCCTCAGTGTCACGCCCGTACCGGACCGGGACCGGCAACGGGATCGCAACCCTCGGTGTTGCACCCGCCCCTCGCTCAGCCAGTGAGCGGCCGGTCTGTATGTGGGATCCGAACCCTCGGCGGGAGCGCTGCTGTGCTCCCAAGTGGCGCACTGTTGCAGTGCGCCACCGGGCCGGCCCCCAGGCTCTACTTTCAACCGTCACAGAAGTCGTGGGAAGTAGGTGCTATTGTCACAGGTGAGAGCCCTCTTACCCACAGCCTGCCTCCTTTTAGTCACCCCAGTTCAGGCCCAACTCCAGAGATGACCTTGACGGGTCCCCACCCTGCCCACGTCTGTACATCCCCCCAACTTCTTGTGCCCATCCTGGCTCCAACTTCCGTCTCCCATCCCCAGAGGCCGTGGAGGTGGGCCGCTAGACTCTGACCAGAGAGGCTGGGATGCAGCTTCCATCCTACACCTCCTCTGGCTGCCCCACCCCCACAATGCCTCCACCCCCCCAAGCTGGGGCCTTGTCACCTCTTGGAAGCTTAAAGGCAGGAACTTGGAGTTGGACAGATCCAGGTGCAGATACTGGCTCCACCACTCACTCTAAAGTACTTAGCATGTCTGAGCCTCAGTTTCTTTAAGATGAGCATAGTAATAGTGCCCACACAGTGTGTTTCTCTGTTCTCGTTATCCATGGAATGTGCTGACCTTTGGGCCTTTAGGCCTGGAACCCAACATGTGATCTCAGGGAGGTCCTCCTTGAGGGTGGGCCTTTGAGCAGCTGGCTGCCAACCTCTCAGCTGCACTAACCCTGGTATACCTACAGCCAGCCCAGGAGGGATAGGGCAAGCTGCTCACCCGCATGTTGGGGTCGCTCAGCGAGTGCCTGGCGCGAGCAATGGCCTCCTCTGTGACCCGGGTGTCCCCATTGGCCTGGATCTCCAGCACAGCCATCTAGGGTGTGGGGTCAGGTCAGATATGAGGAAAGGACTGCACAGGTGAGATGGGGTGCAGCCCAGCCAGGAGGGCGTAGGAGGCCATGAAGCAGGTACCTCCAGTGCACACATCCCGAAGGAGAAGATGTCCACTGCAGTCCCGTGGGCAACCTCTGAAATGTGGAGAGCAAGGCAGGGTGGGTTAGGGACAGATGAGGGGGTAGGGCCTGGGGACGAGGGGGCAGGGCCTGGAGACGATGGGGCCCCTCCCATACTCACCGCCATACTCTGGAGGGAAGAAATGCAGGTTCCGCAGTTCCTCGCGCTCAGTGAGGATGGGGCTTCGGAGATCATCAGGGAGCGCTGTGGGAGAGGATAGGGGCTAAGCAGACCCAACCTCTCCACAGCCCCCAACCCCCCCCCCAGAGTACCCACGCACCATTCGAGAAGATGCGGTGCCACACTGCGCCAGCCATCGCGGGGGAAGAGAGCGGGCGTTAGTTAGCCTGCTGAGTCGTTAGGCATCCTCTGCCCTCGGCTCCCGGCAGGTCCCCCCAGCCCTGTCCCCCCTGCCCAGCACCCCCCCACCCCCGCCAGCACCGGAGCCGATCTTGATGAGGCCATTGTGTTGAATGAAGATGGTGTCGCTGGTCAGGTTCCCATGGATGATGGGGGGGCTGCAGGCGTGCAGGAAGCTGCAGGTGTGGGGGAGGGGACAGCAGGCAAGACCCAGTCAGGGGGTGCCAGAGAGGTAAGGGCGCGGCCGAGTGGGAGAGCGCGCACTAGCCAGGCCCTCACCTGAGCGCGGACAGGATCTGCGTGCACCAGCGCTTCCAGGCCTGACGGCAGACGCACGACTCTGTCGGGTGGGCTCAGGAGAGGAGGCTGGGCCTGCAGAGCCAGCCCAGCGCCCTCGCCCCACCCTTGACCCGAGGCTGTCCGGCGCCCCCACAATCCCTGTCCCCAGGGCCACCCCAACCCACTTTGCATACCCGGGCGTTCATGGCCTTGTGGTTCTTTTTGGTCTTTTTGAGGAATTGCTTGAGGCTACCCGACGACACGTACTCCGTGATGAAGACGACCTGCAGGGAGGGCGGGCTCTGGGCTCCGCCGGCCGCAAGCGGGTCCCCACGGCCGCGCCACCAGGCTTGCGGCCTCCCCGCACCCCGACCTTGCCGTGGCTCACCCGCGCGCGGGCCTCGGAGGTGTCCAGCCAGTGCTTGTGCAGCTTCACAATGTTGGGGTGGTCCACCAGCGCCAGCTGCTCGAACATGGCCTGGATCTTCTCCTGGGGAGCGGGAGTGGTTACGGGCGGCCACGGGCGGCCGCGGGGAGGGGGCGGTGGGGAGCAGCCGGCCTCACCTCGTGGGCTGCGAAGGCCTTCCTGTCGGCGAAGTGCAGCTCGTTCCACACCACTTCCACCCCCTCCTCTGTGTCCATGGCCAGGAAGGTGCTCTGGACCCCCGGCATATTGCCCTGGTTCACCTGGGGGCGTCGGGGTACGCGTCCGGTCGCTGCCCACACCCTCCTGCCCGAGCATGCGAGGCAGGTCCCACCGCCCTGTGGGAAGGCTGGCGGCCGGGAGCCGAGGGGTGGTGTCTGGGGAGGAGACTGGTTCGCCGGGGCGTGGGTGCCGGGCTGAAGGGGTCCGAGGGCCGGCAAGGCGCGGGCCGCCTGAGAGGCCGCGGAGAGGTTTCGGCCGCCGGGCTCCCCCAGTCCCCCACGCTCCGGAGGGCGGCGGCTCTCCTACCCCGCTCGTGCCCACCTGTTCCCGCCGCTTCTGCCAGCGGCCGCACGGGCTCTCTTCCAGGATGTCGCTCTCATCCTCGCTCTCGTCCTCCCGCTCCCGCTCCCGGCCCCGCCTCGGAGAGGGCTCCGGGGCCGCCATGTCCCGGCGGGCCCG